GCCCCGAGGCTTAAGCCCTAAAGCCAAACATCCTGTCTGAAAAACGTCGACCTCCGATTCCGGATTACCTCTGTGGAAGCTCAGCTTGCAACCCACACGGCATCGAAGTGCATGTTACACCTCCTGCAAGGCCAGGTTCTTTCGATTCAGAAAGAATGCTAAGGGTGTATTTTTTGTTGTTGGGTGTGCTAAAGGCCTTTATACGATTCATGTGCGCTTTGTTGAAGGGTTCTTAAAAGTCTGTTTATTATTGAGGAGGGGTCCTGCGGGTGTTTTGGCTTGGGCAAGATTTTAGGACTCAGGCGCTTGAATGCTCTCAAGCAGCGTGAAGAGGATATTGCACTGGTTGATTGGGATATGTTGACCGGAGCGCAGTCATGACCACGGGTCATGAAACTAGGGATGCTTCAGTACTTACGGCTGACGGTCTACTATCTATTCAAACTTTATAAGGGGAGCCTACAAAACAGCGACAACGACCACAACCACAACAACAACGACCACAACCGCGACCCCCACCAGCAGCGTAAGATCACAAGCAATAACAACGACCACGACCGCGGAACAACCGACGTGGTCCATGATCCTCATCGCGGCCTCACATCGCAAATAGCGCCGACACCAACACAGCATCAACCTGGCCCTTACAATAGCATCACCGCGATCATCATGACCACCACGAGCACCTTCATCACCACCATCCTTGTTGTCGTGCTCTCAGCCGGTATGCCACGGTGATGTTACATTGCGGCCCCGGCGTGGCTGCATCTTCCTCGAGGCGATCCGTCCTGGCCATAGAAAGGGTCAGGGACCTTGCGGGTGTCCCAGTCTCTCCCTCCTTCTCCTCTACAGGGGCCCAGGCCACGGAGGCAGAGTCCGGCTCCTACGTCCTATGAACACTGGTGTTGCTTATAGTCTGTTTGCAAACTCAGCCGAGCAGCCGCCTGACACAACGGATGCACTCAGCGAAACCTGCAATGCCCCACGGTAGGAAAAAAAAAGCACGGCGCGGTCCAAAGCAGGCAATATTCCCTGCCCAAAGGTAGAACCATCCCGCACCTCCAGTGAAAACATCAAGCCTGAAACCCCAAGCCCCCGGTTTGGTCCAGCCCTCCTGAACCCCAGATGCTCCACTCTTAGATGCCACAACTGCGGCCGGATCCACTCGAACATACTGCGACTCACGAGGATGAGCCTAAGGGCCGGAAGTTGCGAGTTACGTTACAGGCTTTGGGGTTTCTTAGAATTCGGGAAGAATTCAGGTTGTGGGTGTCGTGCCGTTGGGTTTCCGGCCTAATAGCAGGCTCTGGCCCACTTGCGTGGCTGACTCTTTACGCACAGGTGTCAGCTCAGGTCTGAGTGTTTCATGATGCAACCCGAACCGTACCCGAACCCTACTCGTCGAGTCGTCCAGTGGCTAGCTTTTACCTCTTTCGGGATTCCAGGGCCTAGTGGCTGGCCCAGTGGCCGAGCGGTCTGATCCAAAAGCCACTGCAAGCTCCGAGCCCCGGGCCTTAACCTACAACCCCCTCTTTCCTGCTCAGTCGCTTGTTTTCCTCGCGTGGAATCCTGGAGGATGATTCCTCATGTCGCTGTTCTGCTGTGGACGGGTGTTCGTGCGACTACTGCTGCTGTTGTGATTCTTGGACGGCAACGGCGAAAATCACAAAAACGACGAGGACGAAACCGACAACAACACCTTCAGTACGTCTCAGTGCTGCTACTACGACTAGCTACGACGCCACATCACTGGTGCCTGCCAGCTCTCAGTTGCTACCGTCTCAGGTGGGTGACGATCCTGACGACGAAGAAAACGAAGATTGCTGCTACTATTGAGCTACTGCTACGCTACTACCGCTACTACTTCTGCTGCTGCCGCTGCCGCTGCTGCTTCTGCTGCTGTTGCTGCTCACATACATCAGCACGACCCACGAGCAGCCACAAGCCTCCATAAGTTGCCCTCAGCAATACGTCTGGATATGCAACATTATGCAACGATGTCGTGAGAACTTGCCCACCGGCCACCGTCAAAAGGGATAGACAGGACAGAAGTCTCACTAATTCGCTTTCTTCTGTGAGCATGTGCAACCCCCTTGCCGCTTGCACGACGGCCTCTTCGCGCCGGAACAGCAAGAAAACTTCAGGCTCCGGCTCTTTCCTCGTGACCGGGTCCTGCAGAGGGCTTTGATTATCTGGGTCAATGGACATGTGAGAGAGAAAAAGTTATATATATATATACATATATGTACATATATATATATACATATATATGTACATATATACATATATGTACATATATATATATATACATATATATATATATGTATATATATATATATACATGTGTATATATGTATATGTACATGAAAGCATATGCATATATATATATGTATATATATATATATACATATATACATATATATATGCTTGGATTCACAGGTGCCGGGATGCAGAATGGTTTTGATATGACTCGTTTTACTCACCCTCCACCTTCATCTCTAAAACCCTAAGCCCTAAAACCCGACAGCGCCAACAGTGATCCCTACAACGCTCTGGCATGTGAAAAAGTCCAAACACCTGCGAGTTGGAGGGGTTTCGTGGGATGTAGGGCTTTACGGCTCAAGTTTTAAGTTTATGTTGTAGGGTGGTGTTGTTCATCGGGCATAGGGTTTAGGAGCGTGAAATTCTCGGACCTTTACATTAGGCATCCATATGTGGTTCTGATGTTGGTCATTTTTGCTCTTATCATTACTTATGATAGTATGTGACTACCAGTTGGGGGCTTAGTGTTCAGAAGCGGGTTTTGCGATGCCTTAAACGATAGCGGTACTCCCGATACAGAGACTATCGGGGGATGCCATGACTAGTTATTCCGATCCCTAGAGTAACCCTAGCCCAATACAGATTTAACCCACTGAAGCATGGAAGTTTTTTTAATAGCCTGAAAGAGGAAAGATACCTGCTCAGTTGCTTGCTGATGAAGTTTGCAATCATCTTCCGGGTTAAGGTAAAGGGGTGGTTTTAGGAGGGATTCGTTTCATACAGTTGAGGGGGTTTAGGGGTTCACTTGTAAGGTTTGATGTATGCTTGGCGCGCCAGCCACGAGCTTGTTTTAGCTGGGCCTGTTTCAGCCTATTGTAGAAACGACAATGGTAGGATTCACACAAAGAACCCTAATAAGGATCCAGGGTTTCTTAATCAGGTTCCTATATTATATTTTTAGATGTTAGGGTGTTGGGGAAGCATCAGGGCAGTGGGGTGCATTTTCGCCTGTGAAGCCATGAAGAAGTTGTCAGTGCAGTTCTCTCGCGTGCAGAGCTTCAACACCCATATGCGAACCCCTGCGTGCCCTTTCTCCACAAGCTCGCAGCGTGATCGCTTCGCTGAGCTGATGCCAGCAAGAACAGGTTTAGGCTTCGAAATCCCACGATTCCCGCCTCTCATGGACGTCTCTCTGTCGCAAGCTTGTGCACAAAATAATGTTTGGCCTTTTGGGGGTCTTGGTCGAGCAAGGTTGTGACAGTTCCGGCATCTCTTTCTTGACAAGTGGCGGCTTGATTGCAGCTTCCTGGACAGTATCAATGATCATACTCATCACAATAATAAGGTGATTGGGCATAGGTCACGGAACATGCTTGTGCACTCAGAAGTGAAGTCCGCCCTGTGGCTTGTTGTCCTTGGCTTTCGCATGTTCTGCCCTGGGCAGTTCTTCCTGGCTCACGCGGAGTAGCATTGCATTGCCTGGCTAGCGAATCTTCGCTGCTCCATATATCTGATCCCCCCTCCGCCGAGCTCAGGAATTTGGGGTCGGGACGCACTGACCCCCGCGGATCTAGGTGATTTGCTGTTTACCATCGTCGTGGAGGCTTCGTTTTTTGTTGGGCTTCCGGTCTTTAGAGTACCCAGAACCTAAAACCCGTCACCAAGCGGCAGCAAAGTCTTCATCCACGGAAGGGCTGCATTGGCCAGGCCTGGCCCATAAAGAAGCCCAACTCGACACCCCGAAATCGAAAGCTGCTAAACCCTCCATAACACTTCTAGTTGAGTGGGGTGTCGGCAGTGCCTTGGAAGTTTCGGGTCGGAGTTGCAGTGCGATACTGCCGCAATAAGCATGAAGCTTTAGAATGCTGATGGAAACGAGGCCAAGACTTCCAGACTGGGTGTCCTGAAATTGCCGGCCCTGGTTCTCTCCAGCCTTCAAACGCAAGCCCAAAAAAGAAAAGAAACGAAAAGAGGAAGCTCCACCCTAGAAACCGACGGCTCCAACTCTTCGCCTGGAGCTCTCTAAGAACCAGAAGCCCTGCCCCCGAAGCCCCTAACCTGCAACCTTGCGCCTCAAAGCCTTCAACCCTAGAAGGGCCCAAGACCCCGAACTTGAAACTCGCCCCAGGCAGACTCCGAAACTCCTCAGCCTGCCTTGTCATGTTCGGAGAAGACCGACAAACCTGCTGGCACGCTCGTCATAGTCGTCGTCGTGGTAGTAGTAGTGGTAGTCGTAGACGTAGTCGTAGTGGTAATGGTAGTGGTAGCGGGTGTGGGTCGGAGTGACAGCGGCAGTGGCGGTGGCAGTTGTCACAATTGTTGTTGTTGGAGGAGGAGGAGGAGGAGTGGCCACAACACTAGCAGCGGCCACGTCTGTAGTTAGAGAAGTTGCTGCTATCGCATTAGGGGCAGCAGCACCAGCAGCAGCAAACCAAAAATCTCCGAAGTGGTGGCCGCGGGATGGCCTAGGCATACCCTGCATTCTTGCACACGACAACAATTGGTTGTCACGGCCCAGTACCTGTACCTGTTGTTCCACCTGAATGCTTTATCCCGTTACTTTCAGTTTTCGCGTTCTTGTACAAAATCACTGCACATCCCTGTAGTTGCTTATGCAACCCGTCCCTTTCTCTCCGGTCTGGACCCCGGAAGGGCCAGACGTCGGAAACCGGTGTTTCGTTTTTCGTCCTTGTTTGAGCCTGATGCCACATCAGGTGTCGAAAGCTGCCCTACTTCGTCTAAAGGGTGGAAGCGAAAGGTACCGCAAGGTGTTCGGCCCAGATACCGAAGGCGCCATGCAGCACGGCGCTCTTTGTGAAGGGGGCTCCGGACATCAATCGGCCGCCAGGGAAGGAGTAGACCTGGCTCTGTCAGTGAACTCTCGATTTGTGCATGAAGCGGGGGTTTGGGTTTAGGGCTTTAGGATTTTTTAAGGTTTAGGGCTTAGGGTGGATACCTGGGGTGGCGAACTTTGAGGCCGCAAGCGAAGTTCGCCTTTGTACTGCAGGCTGAACCTGCGCGTGTCGTAAGGTCGGCCCATGTCACGGAGGGCAGGGTTTAGGGCCTAAGTTTAGGGCTTCATATCACCAATACTGACAAAGACCTCGGAAGAAAATGGGAGGACTTTCAAGCAAGCGAGATTGTGGCAGGGACAAACAGGAGGATCGTTCGCATGTTTCATGAAATTCCTTGTTATTACTCTGGACTCCAATGCTGGAAACCCTCGTCCACATCTGCCCACCGGCTGAGACTGCGACGACGCCAGCGGCCTCGCGCTGGGGGGGAGTAGTCTAGTAGTGGGGTTTCGACTCTGCCCTAGGCTTACGAGGACTTGTGCCTTCGCTCTCCTGAATTTTCCGCAGCTACAGCACCTGAGAGCTTTAAGCCCAGCCTGACGAAAATGTCGAAGAACAAACGAACACAACTGTCAGAGACACTAAGCCCTGATACTTGAACCCGGAACCAGCCGACATTTCGGCCTCATCAGCTACGAAGATAGTCTGGTCACCGTCCCATGTAAGGCCGCGTGGGGCAGCAAGCCCTGTGCGAAAGCGGGCTGGGATCCAGAAGGTTAGACACCGGTCTGATTTATCGTTCACATTCAGACGCAAAATTGTAGGAACTTCCCTGTCTCTCTGAAACAGAGAAAGCAACCCGACAGAACAACTCTCCAGTTCAAATTCGAATGTTTGTTCGGCTACCCTGCATCGCAGATTCAAGAATGCGGCGTGTGGCGGGAAGCAATTCCGGAGAAGCAGTCATATGCCAGACGAGAGTCCGCTGATGAAGTCGAAAGTGGCGCCACCTTCGGTGACCTTGCATACGCATGGGAATCGGAGGAATTTCGGGGCTCTGAAAAATGAAACCTCGACATAAACCACATGCCACCCTTTGGTGTCAATTGGGGTTTGGTTGGAGGGGCCGAATACTGCCGATCACTCAGGTTCCAGGTACGAAGCCTTGTACAGTAACAGGAACGAGCCGCAACCCTCCTCCTACCACTACTACTACTACTACTACTACTACCACCACCACCACCACAACCACCACCACTACTACCTACAACTACCACTATTAGAATCTACTGCTCCTGTTCATTCGAATGCTGCGGCTAATCTGCTATGGCTGCTAACCCTCGTAATGAAGTGGTGCTGGTCATGGCGATAATCATAATACCGATACACAGCAGTGGCAAATCTCTAAGGCTGCAGCTCCACTGACCACCCCGATGCCGTTCTTGTCCGCTGCGTAGAACATGTACTTGTTCGACCTCATTAGCCGCACATCGTTTCTGGTCGTTCAACATCCGTCGAGGGGCTGTAACCATGCAACGTCGTAAATGCAAAAAAAAATCTAAGCCCAGAATGCCTCTGAGCATACTGCGTCCTGACTTTAAAGGCAGTGTGTGCCGAGTTCCAGGTCCTAGATAAGCCCGACAAGCGTTGCGCGGCGGCATGAGTCACAAAGATTTCCATGGATAGAAAGAAGGCTACACACAATGCAGCAAACGCAAGGGATGCGACAGCGCATGCCAATGGCGCAACATCGCGCAGTGTCAGGCCAGGTGGCTCTAGGCGTCTTGATCAAGGTAACATCATGAGGAATACATTCCGGCGAATACACCAAACTATGACACTGCGTGCTCAGAGCATGAATATCCGCCAGATCCACCAGCATACCCAACACCCCCTCTAAGGCACATCAAGCAAAGAACTGAGCAAAGAAACAAGCAAACACGCAATGTATCTGCTACAATAACTGACAAGTACGAACATCTGAGCTGAAACAGCTAGACGCATTCCATCTTCAACCAAGTGCCAGTTAAGTGCACCACATGCAGCACAGCGACACACTGAACCAACACAACGGGAATCCACGCCCTCAAGTCGACAGAGCCATCGTTGTCACAACGGTAACATCTTTAAAGCCTGCCTCCTTAACTTTTAAACCCTGGCTCTGGGCCCTGGGACTTGGTCACGCCATAGCCGGCATCTGTCCTGGGCTAAGCGGCTAAGTGGCTAGTAGCTTCAAAAGATCTGTCGCCCTGAGGCCTCACACCCTTCGGCAGTTGTGTGGAAACATCGCGTTCGTGGAGTCCGGATGGCAGACTGAAACCGCAGTAGCTCCTGTCCGAACGAATCCACACGTGTAGATGCCCGTGCCTGGAGCAACTTAAACTCTCGCTTGCTACTCGCACAACACATCCATGGCAGCACTCAGAATTCCAACTTTGGCATAAGAGCATCTCTTCCTTCATCTGCTCTGGCGACTCTCCCATTCCACACTGAATGCCACTGCGCGCCGTGGTTGCTGAGTTGCTTCAGTGGGCGATCGGGGCTACCCGGGGCCTTGGAAGCCTTAAACACCAAACGCCGGGAGTTTCGCCGGGAGTTTCGTCGGAGAGAAACAGACGCCCTTTGAAGAGACCGTCTCCCAACCATGTTTTGCACCCAGCAGGCTCTCGGGCTTGCGAGCCTGAAGCCCTGCCTCAAAAGCAAGCAAGCATGATGTAATTCCAACTCTGGCCATGAACCTGGCGGATTTGACTAACCTACGCACGGTTCCCATGGTTGCCATACCCTCGCTCAGAATGCAGAGAATGGTCGGATGGTGATTGCTTGTGATGACATCTTTGTCATCTGGCCATGGGAATGTTTACTTCAAGAGCACCGGAGCAGGCACTTTGCCAGGCAGCTGGAAACGGCGACGACTGTTTCAGAGCAACGAAGCGGCCAGAAGAAGACGGCCAGTGGAAACACCGTTGGAGAACAGGGATATGTAAAAGCATGCTGTAATGTCAGTCTAGGAGCTCGTTCGTGAGGACCCGGGAGGGGAAGGCCGTCGCCGCCGGCTCGCCTGCCTTCGCCTTCGGCAGCTTTGGTGCCACCTGGGGCGGGGCCGAGGCTGAGACTGCTTCCAGCTCCAAAGCCATCGGCTCCAAGGGTGCTCTTTACCCCTCGCCCTAAGCACAGGCCTCTCCCTCGACGATGCTGCCGGCTGTCTTACCCTCCGCCTGGTTGGTCCAGTAGATCCTGCATAGTGAGTCCCGTGGTTGTCTACTCAGGTTTGAGGCTAGATGCTCGGTGAACGTCGGGAGTCGAGATCAGCAAACCCCCAGCCGCAAACCCCTAGCGCCAACTCTGAACTACGCAACCCCATACCGTTAGACAATGAACCCTGCGCCCAGGATCCCTTCATCCGACATATGCGGCGGCCACAGGCGCAACTGGGCTCAGTCAGTGACAAATGACATCCTTGTGATTGTTTGGGGGCTCTGCGTCTCCTTGCAAACGAAGTTTATGATGCTTCGCACCCTCTGCTCATGCCAACACTTCGAGTAAGAGTGAAGCTGTGAGACGGTATGCTGACCCCAAGCTAAATCAAAATAATTTGGGGGGTTGGTGGTTAAGCCAAGAGTTAAAAGAAAAAAACACTCCACGTGCCTGGCACCATCTGACACGAGCCCGCCCGGTGTAGATACATGGGGGTTCACGCTGCCTTGGCGCATCGAGAAGCTCCACATCATTCTGGGAATCTGGTGTTTAGGGCATGTGGCCTGTGACCTCCGGCTCATGTCGTAGCTGCGGGAAGCAAGAATCAGAAAGGTCTTCGGCTGTGGAGGCGTCAGGACAAAAGCGAGGACAAGAGCTGGAGCTGTGACGAACTGCCAGCTGACTGCTCGTTTTGGAGCATCGAGACCTCAAGGAGGCTTGACGTATGCATTTTGCATTACATTGTGATACATTGCATGAAATGATATCTCTGTCTAACTCCCTCCGGAGCCGACTCTTGAATTGCGACGCGTGAAAGTTCAAAAGAGCGACCGGCTCAGCCCACCCACAAAAACTCGAAGTACCCGGTTGACTCAAAAACGTTTTCACCAGAGACCCCAAGTTGCAACGCCTAAAAACCTCCTACCGCAGACCCCCCCAAATTTTGCAACTCCGAGCCCCGGAAACTCCCCGACCCGCTCGCCCCTTCCTACTTGGGGCCGGGCCTTGGTAGACGGAGTAGACCTGGAGGGCTTAGGGTTTAGGGGTTAGGGGTTAGGGTTTAGGGTTTAGGCCAAGGCAAGCAAAAGCTGACAGCATTTTTAGCACTCAGGAGCTGAGGTTGCGTGCTTCCGTCCCAGAACCGAAACCAAAGCCGGACATGTCTGATCGGGTGCCGCAGATCGCGCCTATGGCCCTTCATGGAAATCGACTGCGCACCCTAAACCCGAGAATTTGCAGAGACCTCGAAAATGTCTCAAACAAAAAAGGTCGAGAAATCCTGCACGAAACTGGCACGGAATTGAGGCCGAGGCGAAGTGGGACCCCGATTCGGGAGCAGCTCCGCCACCTGCCCGCAGAGAAACAAAGAGACGGAGAGAGGGGGAGGGAGAGCTTGACATAAAAAAGAACTAACATGTGATGATGGCGATGGTGTCGGATGACAATGATTACGATCCTGAATGACAGGGTGTGCATGTGTGTGCATCTTCGGGCATGTGTTTACACGTTTGGGTTACGTGCTGCGGGTGTATAGGTGTTCTGGGGCTGTTTGCTATCGGCATGCAAGATTTCGGGCTCATGGTGGTTCGAGCTGTTTTCTTGCATCTTCAAGCTCGCTAAGACACTCCATCTCCCGGGTTCAATCTCAAACTCCGTGAGCCCCTGTGGCGTGTTGTTTGCTGTAGTTTCCCTGAAGTTTTGCTTTAATGGGAGTTGCTACCCACTGAGCCCGACAGGGACTATTCCAATCTGCCTGACTCGAGGGACTTCTCCGAGAGCAAGACAAGATCACCTCGCTGCGGCTCTTGCTTGAAACTGCGGTCTTGTAGCCACGACGAGTTGCCTGTGCATGACGATAGAACCGTGCTTCTGATGATTGAAAGCTGCTGTCATGAGCCTTTATTTCACCGTTGTGCTGTGCCTGGAGGTGTTCCTTGCCTGCCGAACTCAGACGTAGGCGGTTCAGTCTTTGGGGCTTGCAGCAAGGATTTCTTGAGAAAGTCGCGACGGTGATCAGCGAAAAGAGTGTGGGAAAGAGCAGCTGAGGAATTGAACCTCACGGTTTTTCTCGCCCATGAACGACGGGAGCTCGAAATTGCACAAAGCCCCCTCACTCTCGATCTGGGTAAGGTCGCGCCGTCGAACTCTCAGCGCCAAGTCTTGTCGCCAAGCTCTGTCAAAGAGAATAACCCTGGATGCGAAATCCGATTGCAGAATACATGGGGCTTAGATTCAAAACAAAAAGGACAAGAAGCAAATCGCGTTGAGGGGTATACTCTGTTGCCCCACATTGACTGATTCGCTGTCGGTGCTGGGAGGGGGGGGGGGCAGATTCCAGGGACCTGGCAGACCTCACGACCACTCTTAGGACTATGATTTGTAGTACAGGCGGTTACCGACGAGCGATTCCACGAAGGAGTTCGGGCTAAGGTTAAGGCTGGTTTTGGCTTTGCATATTGAGCTGGGCAGTGGTCTTCGAGCTGCAAGCACGACGCGTTCCAAAACCTTATCTGCGATATCCTGCTGGCAAAGCCAGACCTGCAACCTTGATACAACGAACAAGTACTGCTACATGCTGTGACAATCTTACGATCCTGGCCATGGCAATACGGCCAAATCGCTGGATGAATACTGCCCTTTGCTCAGCATGTCGATGACGTCCACCGGTATCCTGCACGAAACCGACGCAGGATTTCGCGTGTAGTGCTTGGGATTAGGGCACGAAGCCTGATGCCCAGAAGCTCAACGTCCTGCCTTACAATGCATCCCGGAGTTCACCGCCTCCACAACAGACTATTGTGCTTTACTCGCTTTTTGAAAGCCCTAGCTCTCAGACAGTTTGTCGGCTTCTGTTCCCAACGTACTTTGAGGGATCAAAAACAGTATTACTACTTATGTTATAGCTTATAAACCAACAGTTCTGTTCGCTGGGATGCTCCTCTCCAATCGCATTCGATGCAGACCACAAGAAGCACAGCTTCTTTTGAACTGCAGTGAAGATATGACCGGCTTCCGGCCCTGAAACCTCCCAGCCAACATCCCTCAGAACCAGTAGTGCTATAACGTGCTTTGAAGAATTGAACAAGGATCGCGTCATGCTGGGGCCCTTACGACCAGGCCCGCACTAGGAGGCAACTTCTATCACTGCATGATACTGCATGGCCTGTTGATGGTCTTGGCGGTCGCATCCGAATAGAAAACATCGCCATTGAGATCGACGTTGACCCAGGAAACGTCGGCGTTCTGTGCGTTCGGCAGGCACTAATCGATGGGCTCACGCAGAACTCGCGAACTGGTTTGTGGGCTCCAAGTTAAGAGTAACATGCCACATGCCTGCCAAAAGGAGCAGATTATGCAGCATGGAAGGGCTCCGGTCGCTCGTCGCTGTAGTCACAGAGCGAGCATCTTTTCGCGTGCCTGCATGATGCACAGCTGCACGCCGTCGGTGATCAGGCCCAGCGATGCGCCGTTGTCTTTCACATACCTCGTGCAAACCCCGCATCCAGACAGCCTTCTCGCCCCTCGCAGCCTGCCTAAGCTGCAATCCTAGACCTAGACCCCCCCCCCCCGGAACAACACCGATAAACTCGCACAGCCCAAGTGCGAAGCTGCGGACACAACATGATATAACCTCGGGCGGATTGAAAAGCGCCGTTGCCAGCCAAATAGAAAGCCGTCGTTCCGCTGACTTTAAGTAAAAATGGGTATGCGGGAGGATGGCAACACTAGCTGTCTCTGAATCAGTATCCATAGTCCCTCGAAAACCTGCATGCAGGGCCTTTTTTTGCCTTCGCTCATCACGTCAGCCCGAGCCCTGTAAAGATATGCTGCGGCCAAGCAGCACATGGTATCTGTAGATTTTCTTCGCGCCACTGTCTGCGACGTACAGCCTCAAGTGATGGGAACCCAGACAAGGAGACCGAGCTGTCATGAAGCTCGCACAAACCCAGATAGGTCAGAACGAAAAAACTACCATACACCAGCCGAAGACAGCTGTGCAAAAGTGAACTACCCGAACCAGGCTGACAAAGCTAAATAGCAAAAGGCACGCAAAGCAGCAGCCAGGGGCAGTCAAGCACATTAATGCACAGGCAGAAGTGCGGCCAGGCTCCTCATGGTCAGTCATCAACATGACACACGAGCATGATGTAAGCGAACATGCGGTCATGTGCATACATATATGCACACAGGCACATGCACATGCCTGCCGACAGGCTGGCGGACAAGCAGACATGAAGGCATACAACGATGCATGCAGCGAATTCAAGTGGCAAGTGTACATGTAAGCACATACGAAAGCCACATATGTAGCTGTGCATGTATATCCGTATGTACTTGTATACAGTTTATAAAAATTAGATAGCATACATGTAATACAGATTATGTAATGGGTTATAATATATGATAACATGTGTACGAATTATAAGACATTGTACTATATCATACTATATCATATTACACTATATCCACACACGTCCACCTGTCCACAACACCTTGCCAGGAGACGCCCCTCGCTCGCCGTCGAAGGCCAGGTCGCGAGGCGAGTTGAGCCCCGAGTCCACCAAGGCGAATGTTCGGCCGGTGGTGCTCTTGAAGTTCCTTGCCATGTAGGGTAGCTCTCTAAAGTAGGGCCCCTTCTAGGCTTTCATAGGGCTTTGGGGCAGATTTTGCTCTTGAAGTCCCTTGTAATGTAAGTAGTTCTCTACAGTCGTGGTCCCTTTTACGTAGGGCCCTCAGTGCTTAGACTAAGGGAGCTTGGGGTATACTAACTATACCATAATGGTTCTCCCGAAGTTCCTGGTAGAGTAGGGACCCTACCGCTTAGAATAGGGAGTTTGGTGTGTATTATAATCTTGAAGTTCCTGCATTACTTGGGTTCACTCATACTCCCAACTCCACGGAATATTGGTGGTGCTTTTGCGGTTCCTTGTAATGTAGGGGCCTTAATACTCATTAATAGGGGTTTGGGGCATATCAACACCATAATTATACTATCTTGAAGTTCTTTGTTATGTGGGAAGTTCCTTTAAGGCTTTAAGTGGGGTCCTTCAAGGGTTACTTTAAGGGTTCTGTAAGGGTTTCATGTAGGGGCCTTCATACTTAGAATAGGGGTTTGGGGCATATTGTACCATAGTTGTACTCAACCCTAAGGAGGTTGTAGTTCCTTGTAGTAGAGTAACGGGCCCTTTTTGGCGAAGGCGGCTTTTGGAGAGGGGGGTCGGAGGCATTGTGTGCAGGGGCTGGGGGTTCATGTTTGGGGAATAGGTTCCAGCCTGATCCGGAGTACGGGACTTGAGGCTGCAGGGTGTGTGCGTGTGTCCTGCGTTTATGTGAAACTTCACCATGGAAGTCATGTCGTGTTTATGACTTCCACCAAATCATGAAGCCCAAACCCGAAAGCCCTGCGGCCAAGTAGTTCAGCTCATGCCACGCTTTTTATGGTCGGGGTTTGCGGCCTCACACTCGGACTCGGACTCTGCCACCTGAAGCCCTTGATCTGCAGCCCTGGCCCAAAAGTAGTTTAAGGGAGTCCCTATCCTTAAACCCTAAACCCCGCTCTGATCCCGCTGCCCCCACCCTGCAGCCCTTCTTGCCATCTCTAAACCAAGCCGAGGCGACTTCAGCTCGGCGTAGACCTCAGCATGCATCTGGACCCTTGGGTTTAGGGTTTGGGGTCTCGCTCGGACAAGCCTGGTCTACTTTAGGGGGTCGACGACAACGACCACGGCTACTGCTACTACTACTACGACTACTACTACTGCGACTACTACTACTACTACTACTACTACTACTACTACCCTGTTGGCTACCAATACCAAAGTACTACCACCACTGCAAACTACTGCCACATGCGTGGATTCTACAACTGCCATGATGCAGAAGATCATACGTAATTCAGTCCCAATACAAAACACCTGCAATTCAACGGAACTCCGAAAAAAGTTGCTACGTGATGTCGTTCGAAACATATCATATACGTCCTATGGAACCTAGTTCCTTCCAAAAAGGAGTACATAGAATATAGTCAGAACAGTTCCTTTCTGATCCTCCGAACCACACAGCCCATGAAGCCTTCACGCCCCAAGACCCTGCAAGCCCCAAGCGATTGCACTTCAGCAAGCGGCTATCTTCTGCTCCACCGGGCTGGAGATGATTAGGAACCTTGAGCGGCTCTTGGTTTTGTTTTTTGGCGCTCCTTTTTGCTTCTGTCCCCTCCTGTAGCACAAGCTGCTGCATAGGGCATTGGGGTCTAGGGTTTTCTTTGGTTTGGTGGGAATGCATGCTCTCACCACTCGGATTTGCTAGATGAGGCCTGAAGGTCTAGTGCGCAACGACACTAGGCCACACATCTAATTCCCACTCCAGGACTCATCGTACCTGCTGGGATTTGCGGGTTATGAAACCCGAGAGACTCTGGGCGGATCACTTGGTTGCCAACCCTTTGGCACCTTCGACCAAGGAACGAAGTCGAAGCAGTCAGAAGAGCTCAGATTCAGCTCATGAACGCATACTGACGGCCAGTTGCCTGTCACTGGCCACTGCAGCTGTCTTTGTTCTACTTGGAAACGGGCATAACTCTTCCCAAAGATGCTCGTGGGGCTCAGAGCATCCATGCCCGCCTGACTCATGGACAGGCCGACAGCGACGGTCTTCGGAGCATGGCCGACTCATGATGACTGTCAGACGTCCATGTGAAAGGGAAATCCGTGGCCAACTCCTGATTGCGAAACCGCCGGCAGCAAATGAATGCCAGTGATTTTGCGCTTGGCCAGACCTTCCGGAACACAAGTCACTTGCGATGATAGTGGTCGTGATGATGGCGCCCTCCGTCGTCGCCATCACCATCATCATCATGATGCGTATGCCCCTTGGCACAGATGATGCAGCAGCAACGAAGACAGACTTCGCCATGTCGTCACACCGGTATCTGATGTTGGCAGCTCCGCGATATGTGCGATGTGCATCGAGTATCATCCAATGGGATGACTGTGTCTGTTGTTGCTGCTGTTGATGATGAAGATGATGATGCCGTTGCTGTTGCGGTTGTTGTTGTTGTTGCTGCTGCTGCTGCTCCTGTTGTTGTTGCCATTGTTGCTGCCAAGATTTCGGCAATGTGACCATTGCTGCTCTTGTTGCTGCTGTTGTGGTTGTTATTGTTGCGGCTGTAAATGTTGTTTAGATGTTGTTCTGCTGTTGTTGTTGTTGTTGCTGCTGCTGCTGCGATTGCTGGTCTTGCTAATCTTGCTGTTGCCGATGAAGATGATGATGCTGTTGTGGTATTGCTGGTGTTGTTGTTGTTGCTACTGCTGATGCTGCTGCTGGCGCTGGTACTGTTGCTGTTGCTATTGTTGTTGCTGTTTTGCTGCTGACGATGAAGATGGTGATGATGATGGTGATGATGGTAGTGGTGGTGGTGTTGACGATGATGATGATGGTGGTGGTGGTGTTGTGGCTGTTGTCGTTGTCGTTGTCCTTGCTGTCGCTGCTGCTGTTGATGTTGCTATCGTTGGCGTTGTCATCCGCATCGTGTTAGTCGCTGTTGCTGCTGCTGCTGCTGCTGCTGCTGTTGCTGATGTGTTTTTTTGGGTCTGGACTTGCAGCCGCCAGAGACTGTTATCACGATTTAAACTTCTAAACTCTAAAAGGCCTCAACCAAAGAGACTGACGTCTCCAAGCCCGAAGCGGCAATGCAAACAAGAAGCTGCTTCGGCGTGAGCTGAGGTGCTGCAAAGGTCGGGTTGAAGTAGTCCACACCTTAATGTCCAAAGGCTAAGTTTTGGAGGCTCGTATCTCGGCGAGAGTTCGAAATGAATGGCTTCGAGCTGGAACAGCGAATGTAATGTTCGGGGTCTCCGGGTCCGGCGGTTGTTCGGACGTGGTGAGAAGGGACCGTAAGCTAAGACCATAAAAAGGACCCGCAAGAAGGGAGGCCTGTTTGTAAGGAACCCTGGAATACCTGATCTGTGAAAAGGAAACACTTCTTGTCCTGAAAGACCCAAAACCCTAAACCCCGAAGCCCTCAGAACTGCCAAAAAAAGCTGAAACGTCAGCCTTCTCATGCCCCAAAAGTGAAGAACAGGGAATCGCAGTACCAGTCTTGTCCCCTCTTCGTGACCCCGAAGCCCCTTAACCCCAAACCCTTTTGCCCAAACCTTTATAGTAAGCCATATATAGCAACCCTTAATTTGGCCCTTGAAGTACTCCCGTGGCATAACCGCTAGAGTAACCTTTACTTGGAGGTTCATGGGTAGTTATAAGTAATGCTATAAGTTATAAGTACGGTAACTATAATTATTACCCATATTTGGGGACTTATAACCCCGCTTATAACTACCCATGAACCTCCAAGTACATAGCAAGCCCAAACCGAGCAGAAGGAGCTTCCAACGACTCCATTGAGGCTCCCGGCTTGTTGAGGCACGCTGAGACAAGCCTGGGGGCGGGGGGGCGGGGGGGGAGTGGGGGTTTAGGGCTTAGTGTTTAGGATTTTTTTTCCTCCCACTTAGGTTGGAGGAGCCCGCATTGCAGGGTAAGTTCGGATAGGTCGGCTAGGGTTTAGGGTTTAGGGTTTTAGGGTTGCATGGCTGAGAAGGATGCTCACAGGCGAGGTTATTTCCCTGTACTACAAGCCGACTTGCAGCGTGCCAAGCAACATGACCCCCCTCGAATGCTAACCCTCAGTTCAGAGTACCCGAGACCGTTTTGGGCCAGATTCCCACAAGGCAAGCAAATTAAGCCAAGCAAAGTCTGCCTTCGACGAACTATGTCAAACAATAAATACATAAACCGGTCGTCCAAGGAGGACTCCAACAAGGCTACTGTGCAGGACGGACTTTTGTGCGGGGGTTTAGGGACTAGGGTTTAGCAGTTTGGGGTTTCAGGTTTAGGGTTTGGGGGTTGCTTTGGTGTCTTGCCTCTCACCCAGCTAGGACGCTTGTTGAAATTTGTCCAGCTGCTTATCTCTTTCTTAGGTTTAGAGTTTCGGGTCTAGGGTTTCGGGCTTCACGACAACTGGTCTCAGGGTTCCAGGTTGAAGGTTCAGAGATATCCACAACGCTGGGGCCCAAACAGAAAGGATCCTTCTAGAAGGCTGATCTTAGGACCACTGCTTTCTGAAGGTTCAAGCGTAAGGGGAGGCTGCTTGGGTTTCGGGGGCCTGTGGCAGGTGCACCCTCAGTCGTGCAAAATGCAGCGAGAGAGAAAGAGAGAGAGAGAGAGAGAGAGAGAGAGAGAGAGAGATGAGAGAGATAGAGAGAGCGAGAGAGCAAGCAAGCAAAAACAAAAGGGAAGCTCCCTTCTCTATCCGCTTGCAGCCTGCATGCGGTTCAACGCCCAAAGACTAGACCGTGTTGCCACCGTATATACCTATACTATACTGTACTATACTACGCTATGCCATGTTAAACTATATACTAGACTAGTTTATACTATACTATACTATACTATACTATACTATGCTATCCTATACTATACTATACTACACTACTCTGAAATATGCTACTATACTGTGCTGCGCTATAGCTGCTTTAACATACCATAATCTACTATAACATACTAGAATAACTGGAATCTAGAGGCTCCACCCATCGAAAACCCGAACTTCCCC